GGGGGGGGGGGTGGAAGTCAGAGGAATTTAGGGATGTGAATGATTACCCAAGAAGTGAACTATCCAGACTAAATCTGAATTGTATTGATAATGAAGTGTTCCCAAGTTTTAAATATGCTCTTAATTTGTATTTATTGAAAGACTGTTAGCTCAGTGTCATAAAGTTTCTATTATTTTACTGTAAGTTAATTCCAGGTATAAAATTTACAAATTCATATCCTGACTGAAAATTTTACTTTATAAAAAGGTAGAAGCCATAAACCAATAACTCTTATTTTGCAAAAATAAAAGGTTGGGATTGATATATAAAGAATTTGATATAGAAATTCTGACATCCTAGAGTTTGTCTCCCTTTCATAGCTTATTAATGGTGTCTTTTAGAATGGAAGATGTTTATAAAAAGCATTGTAATTAAATTTACATACAAACAAAAGATGTTTTATAAAATGTGTTACCTCGTTATTTCAATTGGGTATTTGGGAAAATTCTAAATGATTTTCTGGGTAAATTATAATTCTTTTACATAAAGTCATTTTAGTAGAAACATAAGCTATTATCAGTTATACTTATGTTTAAAACATGTACTTATTGATATGTTTATATATTTTGTACAAAAAAAGAAAAAAACAATCTATAGTTCAGATAGATCTCAAGGAATACAAGCCTGTACTTTTTCAAGTAGATTCTCACATTCACAAAAAGTTAAAATCCACCTATACCACTGTAAAGTAATAAAAGGTTTATAGATTTCTGCTCATACCACTTCAATAATTGTTCATTACAACACTCAGTGATTTGAGTGTCTAGTTGTCCAGAACTTGTCCTTAGTTTGTATATGTTCAGAGTATTGAGCACAGCATGACAGAAATGTTCCTGACACTTGTCTCTATTCCATTGCTTGTTCCTTTTAATTGAAACATTTCAGACTGAATAGCCTATTTATATACCCTGCCACGGCAGATTTTTTTACTTAATTCTAGATTATCAAAGTAAGGGCAAAGATTCTCGAAATCTATAAAAACTAAACCAGCAGTGGCATGTATGCTGAAAGTGGCATACTAGAACAAGTCTATGACAAAAGAACCATATTTTATTCTTTGGTGAGGGGGAACAGTAGACCAGAGGAATGTCAAATATGTGTACTTAAAACTTAACCATCTCTACAATTTGGTGTTTATTATTTTACTATTAAAAGTTCTTTGTAATGTCTAATTTTTTCATAATATAAAAGAAAAAAGATTTTACATAGTTTAACCAAGATGGTTAAGGGGATCAGAAATAATGGTGTCACCCCAACTTGGGGCTGTGGGGGTAAGTCAGTGAAGTAGAGCAGATGGAGTAGTAGACAAAAGAGCAATAGTAACCCAGCCGGTGTGGCTCAGTGTTGAGAGTCCACCCATGCAGCAGGAGTGGGTCACTGGTTCGATTCCTGGTCAGTGCACATACCTGGATTGTGGGTCAATCACCAGTAGGGGGTGAGCAGGAGGCAGGCGACTGATGTTTCTCTCTTTCCTCTCTTCCTCTCTAAAATAAATAAATAAATGTATGTTGATCCCTTCTTTCTTTGGCTCAGTTCCTTCCAAACTCTGAAATCAGTCTCTTTGGTCACATTGCTGCATCATTTTCACTTTCTGAAGAGCCAGAACTAGAATGAGTATGTACAAAATATAAGAGTGTATCAAAAGCCTTAGTAATCAAGATTAGTAGTATTTTTATACCATTTTAAAAAAAATTAACACCAAAAAGAAGCATGATGAACAAAATACCAAACTTTTCTGAAAAAGACTGGGTCAGTTAAGCCATGTCAGAGCCTGAGGCAAAAGGAAAAAATTAGTAATGCTAATCCTCTCAGTAACAAGAGCCTTATTTTAGGCATATTGGAGCCTGAGTTCCAGCCCTTTGATTCTTCCCTTCTCACTTTCCAAAATGACCTCACTCCTAAACCCTAGATCTGTATCCCATTTTTCTTTCTTGGCTTCCACCTGGACGGAGTGTTCATGGAAAGTACACTGGATTCTAGCCCTGGCTTTTTACATCTGAGTTAACATCTTACTATAAAATCATATAATTGGATTCCAAGGAGTCCTGGTAAGGGAAGTACTGAGGTTGACAGAGGTTCCTGCTCCTGTTAATTGATCTACAGAAAAGTTCAATCAGTTTCATCTGAAAGTTTGTCATCTGATTGTACACCTAAGAACTACCTACAACTATCTCCTGACCCTATTCTCTTAGAATTATTATAATACATACTCTATTTCCGCAAGTTCTCATACCTTATATCAACTGTTTTGTGGCACTTGCTAGGTAAGTGACTATAATATTCTTCAAAGCTTTTTGTTTGTTCTTTTGAGAGTATATTTATTAAAGCTAGGGACAGTGAAACAGGGAAGGGCTTAGGATAGAGGAAGCAACAGGAGACCCTAGGCAGGGCTGCTCTGGCTCACTGGAAAGTCAGAAAAGAGGGCCTTGGAGACAGGTCCAGGGAATTAGCCTGAGATGAGCTGCTGCTGCTCATTGCTCCCCCTGGTTGCAAGTCTCGTGGGGGATACTTGCCTGTGGGGGAAGAAAAAGGGGAAGAGAAAGGCTTGGACTTGCTCCCAGGAGGGGAAGAGTGCCTTCTAAGTTTTCAACTGTAATGGGTAATAGTAAAGGAATATTTGGAATGTAGCCATTCCTCAGTTTTTCTATTTTTAATGCAATATTACCTGGTAGAATATGTTAGTATGTCAATTTTCACACTATTTTTTTCTCCAGTGAGTTGTAGACAGTGTATTTCATAACTCAAATAGTGTTTAATGCTTAATTAAATATGACTTGTATAATATACTGAGCCATATGTGTCATAAAAAGTTCAAATACTACAATTAAACAAAAACAAAAATATTTCCAAATATTAGCTTTGAAAAATGAAAAAACAAAAGTTCTAAAATTGGAATTTGACCCAAAAAAAACCACAAAAACAAACAGGTGTTTTCTGTTAAGATACTTTTCCCTCTGATGAGATTGTGGATGGTACTGTCCATATTATAATTTTTGGAGTTCTGTTTTTAAAGTATCTGAGCCTCTCTTTTTAAATTATTCATGTTTGTTGTTGCTGTTTAATGTAAAAAGTGTACTTGTTAGGAAGAAAGGGAAAGGAGGGGGTGGAGAAAAAAGAAGGGCCTCAGCAAAGTGGCTTCCCAGTAATCCTGTGGGATTAAGTATTATTTTGACTGTCTTTAGATGAGAAAACAGGGACTTAGAAGAGGAACCTAAAATCACACGTCTAGTAAACTGATCTATTTGGGATATAACTCCATGTGCCTTCCAAAATGTGCTCTTAACCACTAAGATATAAGAGAAGTTTTAAAGTTTTTATTAAAACCACATATTTTGTAATGGAATAAAAAAGTTTCCTGACCTGCACATGAAAAATGTGTATAGGTTAATTGAACAAAGCTTATTCATTCCCTCCCAACCAAACCTCTTTCAAGGAAACTTAAAAGTTAGTTTGCTTCAACTCTTTTTTAAAGAGAAAAATAGTATTCATATAAAAGAAAATTCCTTTTTGTTTATCATATTTAAGCAGAATATTTCACACTATTCTAATAATGGTATGGGTGGTGGTGTTTTTTGTTTGGGGAAGGTAGCAAAATTTTGCTCCAGAAGCTATTTTTTGTCTTTGCCAACAATTAATTTAGCACAGGTTTGATGTGGGAATCATGATTTCACAAGCCAATAGCATACAGGATAATATCTCTTAGTAAAGCCAAATGGAGAAATAACATACTCCAAGCAAATGACAGATTAATCACACTGGTATCCAGGCAAGGGGAGGTGAAGGAATGAAGTCTTAATTTAATATGAGGTGTATCTTTTGTATAAAGAGAAGGCTCTCTGAGAGTCAGCAACCACCAACCAAAGGGGTGATTTCCAGCTACCATCGAGAAAGTGAAAAATCCCTAATCCTAGATTATATTCCCAGGTTACAAAGACCCCAATGCTGGTAGGTGGGCTAATCTCTCACCAGGCCAAGGTGGGT